ATGACAACACTGTCACACATATACAGGTGTCTTATACCACAAGATCATATAATATATTGGTATCCATATGATAAAACTGTCACACATATACAGGTGTCTTATACCACAAGATCATATAATATATTGGTATCCATATGATAAAACTGTCACACATATACAGGTGTCTTATACCACAAGATCATATAATATATTGGTATCCATATGATAAAACTGTCACACATATACAGGTGTCTTATACCACAATATCATATAATATATTGGTATCCACATGATAAAACTGTCACACATAAACAGGTACCTTATACCACAAGATCATATAATATATTGGTATCCACATGATAAAACTGTCACACATATACAGGTGTCTTATACCACAATATCATATAATATATTGGTACCCACATGATAAAACTGTCACACATATACAGGTGTCTTATACCACAATATCATATAATATATTGGTATCCACATGATAAAACTGTCACACATAAACAGGTACCTTATACCATAAGATCATATAATGTCTTGACATCCATATGATAAAACTGTCACACACATACAGGTGTTTTATATACCACAAGATCATATCACCTCTTGGTAACCATATGACAAGGCTGTCACACATACACAAATTTCTTAGAAAATAAGATCAACACACATCTTGGTATCCATGTGACAGAACTGTCGCACAGACACAGGTGTCTTAACACACGATATTGTATTAATAGAGTGTCACATATTTATCAAAGAAATTTCCATACCTCACCTAACTCTTATTGCTATTAAATATCTTTTAGTGTGATAAAAAATACATATGCACATTTATTACTGAAGTATACCTCTCATAACCTGCATACCTTATTCCCACAAAGAAACCAGGTGTGACTAACTAACTAACAAACATGCAGCTATTACTAATATACCATAGGAAGAGCACAACCACAAAAAGGAATGTCTGAATATGTGTTGAAAATGGATAACATTATATTGATAGCATTTTGTTTTTATAATTAAGTATAGGTGTTAACATGCAATCTAGACTTTTACCATAACTTGCTTTGTGATCTAGAATCTTATCATACCTTGCTTTGAAATCTAGAATTATCATATTTTGTTTTACGATCTAGAGTTTTACCATAACTTGCTTTGCGATCTAGAATCTTATCATACCTTGCTTTGAAATCTAGAGTTTCACCATAACTTGCTTTGTGATCTAGAATCTTATCATACTTTGCTTTGAAATCTAGAATTATCATATCTTGCTTTGCGATCTAGAATCTTATCATACCTTGTTTTCTGATACATAATAATCATACTATTAGATAATAGACAAGTGTAACTTTTAATATTCTCTACCAGACCACTGCACACAGTACTCCTCACAAGATTCACACATTATTTTTTATTGTCTATTTTGCTGATGTCACAGGTTAATTACTTATGATCTGGATTTAATTTTTATTACTACATACTACTAGTACACAATCTATTAATATTTAACAGTCCACTTCCATCTACCACACATTAGCTACGACATATTCTGGTTGTTTTCGTTAATAAATATGTATACCACATTACTTATGCTCAACAAGACTGAAAACAGTACAAATGGTAAATGGAAAAAGAAAAAAAAAGATCTAAAGCAAATTTCTTGTAGTTATTTCTTTATAATAAAACTAATGCATTTCCTCTACACACTGTGCACCTAATGATGTGTGTTTCTTCAATGGTGCACAATTAACCTCATTTAATTTTCAGTAAAGAAATATTACAGATTAACAGTTTCAAGTGCATATAAAACACATGAAAGCCATGGGATAAAAATACATTTTTCAATGTTTTTTTGCACAATATGGACATTAATAGAACACAAGGTCACTAAATGCTGGTGTAAAAGCAATAATCGAGAACATTTCTCAAAGTTTCAACAAGGATATAGAAACTCTTCTCAGCAAAGTTCTGGTAATACAATATTTTAGACAACAGTGTGTCTTTATAATTAAAATCACGTACATTGTAACATCTACTATTAAACATCATCAAGAAGTTTATCTAGTTTTAATTAGCTACAGTGTTTTGTCCTTAAATAATAAAAACAAAACCACAACCTGTTTCCTATCCGACTAATTTTGCCGAAATAAAACAGAAACTATATTAATCTTTTTTCATACATTAGAGCTTTAGAAAATGTCATTTTGTTTTATAAACTCATGATTAATCTTAAGTAACTCAGACAGGCACTCAAATATTGAAAATAGTAAGCATTACTTACACAAAGATAACTAGCTTACATTACAATATACAATTAACTTTACAAAGCTTACATTACGATATACAGCTTACTTTACAAGGCTTACATTATGATATACACTTTACTTTATAACTCAATATAAATTAACTTTGTGTTGAAACCTTTCTTTTCAGGAGCTTTACTGTAATTGGCTCCTCAGCGTGCAAATTACTAATTTATTTACCGAATATTTCAGGCCAGTAATTTTTAATGTTATGCCACGAGGATTAAACACTTTTCTTTTACGATACAATCAAATTTCCTTCTTTAAAAAAATACAAGGTTAAACTTTTGCTCTTAACACAGATAGCTTCCAATTGATCCATACACTCTGAATATATCAACATTCCAAATAAAAATAGTTTTTTTTTTTTAGGATAATACTAACTGAGTATACAGATAGAACCCTGATACAAGAAAATCTGTTTCTTAACAAAGGGGAAAAATAGAGACCTCTTAGCAATCCCATTCATCATCATCCTCCTCCTCTTCATCTTCATCACTATCACTTTCATCTGAAAGAAAAGCTCATTTTATTTAAGATCAAAATTGGAAAAATAAACCGTTTCCATAATTACTACTACAATGTTGAAAGTTACAGTTATATTAAGGAGAGGTGTAACTGACAGTGTTTCGGGTTGGATACCAAATGTTCAACCAACAAGTACTTGATATACTTATTTAAATAAACAATTTCATAATTTTACAGGACAACCAACCTGTTTCCTATTCGTCTAATTTTGTTGAAATAAATCAAAAAGTATATTAATATTTTTTCATACATTGTAAAATTTTCTAAAGCTCTATTTTTTTTTATAAACTCATGATTAAACCTTAACTAATGGTATTTTTGAAAGACACAAGTTACAACGAATTAGATGTAATAACAATACTTTAGTTATTCCAAATGAATACTTATGTCTAAAGCTATCAATTATAATGTGTTTTTTTTTTATAGAGACAAAAAAATCTTAATAACAGTTTAGTCTACACACGGCCAATACTTTTTTCAGTCTCAATATATATAGTCTGTCCTGAAACTGCAGTAACATACATCCGTTGTTGTCTTAACAACAGTCAGTAAACAACATATTCAAAGACCTGTCATCTGCATAGACGTGCTGATCTCCAAGACAAATGCTGTCAGTGACAAGAAATATGATAACCTCTGTGATAGTTGATTACCATGAGTGATGTGAAATGCAAAGAGACCTTGGCTGGATTAATTTGAAGTAGTTGGTAATTTTTGAAGTGCAAATTGTATAGTATATTACTTTCACATGGTGGCAAAGAGAAAGTACAACCCCCTGAAAATTAATCATGTTGAAGACTTCAAGAATGTGCAACAAACTTCAAATTCTACTGGACTTAATACTGGAAAGTACTGGTGATTGTTAAAAATTAAATGATTATCAATATATGGAACTTCTTGATGGTACGGGTAACACAAAGAAATTTGGACGGAATGTACCGTTGTGCTTGACTGCAAGTTCCTTCTACAAAGGACTCCAAAGCAGACGAATGATGCTATTAGTGACTCGTATGTTGATTTGGTGTATTTGATGGCTACACTGATGATCCCACAAGAGGATGCTATACATCTGTGACATGATGGAGGGTATGTTGAGATAGATCTACAATTTGTAAGGAATGTGGTTATGACCACAAGAAAAGAGCATTTTATAGGAAACTAAGTTAATAAATAACAAATTTTTACATTTGCTGAAAGAGTTACTAAGCAGAGTTGGATTTGTAACACTTCATGCACAAGTTTAATGTAGATATACAGATTGTTGTAGAATTAGGCAACTCCAGACATACCATCCTTATTAACAAAGACATAGATCTTTTGGTGCTTTTTTGCTTCTATGCTAAAATGGACCCTCATCTGATATATATTTCTGAACCGAACCAAAACAGTAGTCTGAAAAGGGAACAATGACACGGGACATCAGAGCAACCAAGAATGTGCTAGAAACAGAAATGTGAACAGTCTTGTCATTTGTACATGATGTACTTGGCTATGACATGACATCTTGCAGGCACGGGAATGGGAAGGCACTGCATTACATAAAGTGCAAAAATATATTTTAGACAAATTGCAAAATAATTCAAGAAAACAACAGCTACAGAAGATGACATCATAGTGGCAAGGAAGAAAGCAAATATTTGTTTGCACAACGAAAACCTGAAGGAAGGTCTGAACAAGATAAGGTACAGATATTCTTATAAGGTTGCTTGAAGCTAATTACCTACTGAATCCAATGTATTACCACCAACTTTCTTAGCTGCAAAGATGCTGGAAAACAAGAAGCGATTCGAATGAATTTTATAGACTGGATTTGTAAGATCACTGATGGACAGATGCACATTATCCACTCTGATATGCTTTCAGTTTTTCAGTCTATAGTGAAAATAATGAAGTGTAACTGTAAGTTCGACTGTGCCAGTTTTGTTGCAATTGCAAAAAAGCATGATTTGGTTTGTTTTACAGTTTGTAGGGAATGCCATGGAGTCAGTTGTCAGATTCTACTGAAGGTTGCAGATATTTGGATGCAAAACTCTTATGTATTACTGTAAAATACATACTTTTTAATGAAAATAGTAGATAATACTTATGATCAACATACTAACTCTTTATGACTGGTTTAATTTTTCTTAAATTGCTGTGTGAAACTTTAAGTACATTTCCAAGGTTCCAATTTTTGATATCTGTAATGCACTACTTTTGAAATTTTGCAACTTCTACATACAGACCCAATATCAAATATTCTAGTATTTTTCCTCAATTTGTATACATGGAAAAAATATCATATTCTGAACAAACGCTAAAGTTTATGTAATATGAATACAATGTAGAAATTTTAAAATTTTTTAAATGAATTTTCAACTTTTGTTCTGAAAATATATTCCTTCCATTGGATTTTGGTGAATTTTTTGATAAGTCATACAGCTGCTTTTAACCCATTCCAGACCCGGCAGAGTTGGATTTTGGTGAATTTTTTGATAAGTCATACAGCTGCTTTTAACCCATTCCAGACCCAGCAGAGATGGATTTTGGTGAATTTTTTGATAAGTCATACAGTTGCTTTTAACCCATCCCAGACCCGGCAGAGTTGGATTTTGGTGAATTACCAAAAATTCATAAATTACTATATCAATACTATAGAATTCCACTATAATTTATCCAGCTTAGTAACTAAGCTGTATTTCAATCTAAAAAAACATGAAATTTTGAGCAGACTAAAGACACAACCTACCTTCTTGAAATCTTGGTTCGAAAAAAAGAGAAGATGGCATACAAAAACGTTAAAATGGCTGAGAAAACCATTCTGAACTTCCAATTGGTTATTCATGTCATATACAGAAGTAAGTGTATATAAGGGAGCACTTTCAAAATTCGAAAGAGATGGGCGGGGTGCAACTGTGTTTGATTTATTATACGAGTAATATCTTAGCAAATTGAAAAGATAAGAGGCTCTTACTTTATATTCTAGCTTGTCAATATTGGTAATGTGAGTTCCTAAATCGAATGAAACTACAGATTTAGTATTTTTACATCACAAACATCTAATTTGAACCAGTACTGCATTCAACATACCACATGACACACAAAAATCAATATTTAACTGTGTTGTTTTTTTTGTTTACTTTTGAATTAAGAAATTGAGTAATGGATAATACTAAAATTTGAATTATAATCTACAGTTTGATACCAAACTTATTGACATAAATTCATGAAATAGTAATTCAATAAAACTTTGAATGCAAGTCAACAAAAATGATGACATGGCCTTTGACCTGTCTGGAAAGGGTTAAAACAGCATCTAGTTTTGGCTTCAAATATTCATATAATTTGATTTACTTTTTCTATTGTAGTTCAGAAAGTTCCATTTTTACATTTACAGTTTCATAAAAAACATGTTATAAACTAACAATAATTTAACTGTAACCTTGGGCCTAACCCTTCAAAAAGAACATCAGATAAGACTAGGTAACAATACCTATGTTAACAATATTCTTGGCTAAGATCAATTTATATCTAATAAATATATATATTGCTTGGAGATGGCTTGAATGGGTAGTGAAGAAAAACTTTAATATAAGTTTAACATAACAGAAAATGTACAATGTTTCGACAAGGTTTTGTCATCATCAGGTACAAGCAGTTTACGGTGATATATATACAGTATTGAACAAAGAAGTCACATGACCGGATACTGTTGCAAGACTTAGAAGAGATATCTTGGCACCCCAGGGTGTTGGTATAGAACAAGGTTGTTTTGTTCAATTAAAATGGATTCTTTGATTTT